CACACAATTGAAAGCCTTTGTGTAGTCAATAAAGCACAGGTAAACATCTTTCTGATATTCTCTGCTTTCAGCCAAGATCGATCAGACATCAGCAATGATCTCCCTGATTCCACAGCCTCTTCTGAATCCGGCTTGAACCTCTGGAAGTTCTTTGTCAATGTATGCTTGCAGCCGTTTCTATATTACCTTTAGCAAATCTTTACTCGCATGAGATATCAAAGATTGTCTGATGATTTCCGCATTCCGTTGGGTCACCTCTCTTTGGAATGGGCACAAATACAGATCTCTTCCAATCAGTCGTCCAGATAGTTGTCTTCCAGAAAGGACATCATGCTTGGTAAAGTAGAGAGTGGGCAAAGATGAGGATGACCCTCAGTGAGCTGGACTAGCACAGTGAGTACAAGAACGGGCTCAGACATGGCAGTTGTGAGGAGGCCGCCGGAGCGGGCTGTGCTCTGTCTCCTTGTACATACGGTTACTATGAGTTGGAACCAGTTTGCACCTAACAACTGCGAGAGCCTAAAGGTTTACTTTTTGGAAGCTTGAGGTTAGAATTAGATTCTAAACACACATGACAAACTGTCAAAATAAAAATTTGTCTTTCCCAGAAGCACAAGCTTATAAGTTGGTTGAGTGTGTCCTTTGACTTAGATATTAAGTAGATATTCATACCCTCTGTCATGGCAGAAAGATGAGGCTTCCTACTTCAGCAAACATTGGAAGCATCGAAACCCTGTACAGGGTCACTATGAGTTAGAACCAACTCAAAGGCACTTAACAACAGCAACAACCCTCTGAAGTGTGATCGTTTCCTGCTTTAGGAATTGCAGGTTAGAGCAGCTGGACTCTTCTGTAGCAGATTAGGTCATTCACTTCTGAAGTCCTGAAATAGAGCACCACAAGTTGTGGTCTCTTGTTTACCCTTGTAAAGACAGCCTTGCGTTGGACATTCTCAGTGAAGATCTCACCGTGCTCACCTGGTGTGATAGGTGTAGTGTATTTGTCCTCTGTCCTCTGGGCTGTCTCTGCTGTAGTTACTGTTCTTCTTTACCTTGAACGCCAGAGGAACAGGTGTAGGAAAGATGCTCAGTTTGAACATCTTAAGTTAAACCGACTGTCTTGAATTGTGTTTGAATGTCATTTTATTTGTTTGACCTCTAGAACTCTTCCTCATGGGTATTATACAACATGGCTTCATTTTACTGGAGAATAAAGAATGAGCCGTATCAGGTAGTGGAATGTGCCATGCGAGCGCTTCACTTCTCTTCCAGGTAAGAGTCCTCCCCTCTAGGTCTCCCGATTTTCCACAAAATTCAGGACTGTTAGAAAAGCAGCACATAAGAAAACAATAGGATGTGACATTGCTTTGTACTAATATTCCCCTCTACCTCTCTCCAAAAAAAATTAGTCCCATCATAAGAAATCCCAGATGGCAGAGCTCAACATAATTTATAATATACTTCCAGCTTTCATTAAGACAAAATGCATAATATAGATGTCCTCTGATTGGAGACTTGAATGCAAGGACCTTGGCTGAAGAAATTATCAGAAATTAAAGTTTTCTTAAAGCAAATATAAATCCTAAATACATTTTAAAATCAGAAATTGGCTGCCAGGCCTTGTCTGTATAACAAAATTTGTAGCTATCATATTGATTAAATGCCATCAAGTTAGTTCCAATACATAGTGACCCTGTATAGGGTTTGCAAGGAGCTTCTGATGAATTTGAACCGCCAACCTTGCAGTTCAAAGCACCCTTGAAGTTGAGTGCTTATCCTAGAACAGCACACCAGGATATGATCAGAATGAATAAGCAACATCAGTATTTTAGAAATGAGATGGTATGATTATCTTAAATTCTTTTCTCTACCTCTAAGTATTCTCAATATTATTCTACATATAATAAGTTTGAATGTCATTTCATTTTCCCTTGTCAAGTCATTGTGCATCACGTGAGATCTTCTTAGCTAAGATCTGGTGACCTCTCTCCTTGTCTTTTAGGCACAATAAAGACATAGCTCTGGTCAACCTGGCAAACGTTCTGCACAGAGCGCACTTTTCCGCCGATGCTGCCGTTGTGGTCCATGCAGCCCTGGATGACAGTGGCTTCTTCACCAGCTATTACACTTTGGGGAATATATATGCCGTAAATACAGCTCCTTCTTTCATGAGTCAAATGAGTTGCTAGTTTCTTTTTTCTTTTTCTTATTTTCTAGATAATGTGTGGGGGGTTTTTTGTTTTTTGTTTTTTTGGTCTTTTTACTTTTGTATCTGAACAAGGGAACAAGAAGGAAAATGAAGAAATTAGAGGGAAAACATCAACACCTTAGTGTAGCATAGCTGTTCTAGACTCGACAGAAAATAAATTGTTAAAAATATAAAGCTTCTATAGAGTAAACCTGTTAACTATTGTCAAACAGCAATTCTTTCCAACTAAGCTGTCTAATGCCATGCCTTCATACTGGGGAGACCTTGCCACTGACGCAAACAGTGTTCACTGAAGAATGAGATACATGCATGACTTCCTAAGTGGGGTTGGACAGATGCAGCCAGGCCATGACTAGCTTTTCTCCATTTGTGTGTGTTGTCTCTTCCAGATGCTTGGGGAGTATAACCACTCAGTGCTCTGTTACGACCACGCTTTGCAGGCCAAACCTGGGTTTGAGCAGGCTATAAAGAGGAAGCATGCTGTCCTGTGTCAACAAAAACTGGAGCAGAAATTGGAGGCTCAACATAGGTAAACTGGAAGTAAGACTTTTGCTGACGCACTAGCTCCACAGAAGCTTAGATGAGACCCATCACTTCTGGCGGTGATAGTGTTCGTATGCTCATTAGAATGACAAAAGTAGCCTCTGTTTATGACTGCCAGTCCTGTCCCCTTTCTCCAAACCCAGGTGGGTTAGCCCAGATCAAGGAGCCTGGTGCTGCAGTGGTTACACGCTCTGCTGCCAACACAAAGGTCAAGGGTTGGCACCCAGCAGCCCCTCCTCAGGAGAAAGACGGGACTGTGTGCTTCAGTAAACCTCACAGCCTTGAAAAGCCGGATGGGCAGCTCTACTCTGTCCCCTAGGGTTGCTGGGAGCTGGACTCAAATCCATGGCGGTAGATGTGGTTTGGGGCTTTTGTTGACTACAAATCCAGTGTGTTGTAAGGGAATCGCTTGAGTTTTACAGATCCCAACAACTAGAGAATGTTTGCAGTAAAAGCTATCATTTTGAGCTTTACGTTTATGGAGTCCGTTTGGAAGGGAATTAATTACTCTGTTGTTGTTGTTGTTGTTGTTGTTATGTACCGTGGAGTCGATTCTGACTCATAGCAACCCTGTACAGGGTTTCTAAGGCTGTAAGTCTTTACGGGAGCAGAAAGCCTCATCTTTCTCCCACGGAGCTGCTGGTAGTTTTGAACTGCTGACCTTGCAGCTCGCACCCAGATTCGTAACCACTACACTAATCACTCAGTAATATTCAGTAATTTCACAAATACACTGTGCGTCAGTAAAATCACTTACGCATACTTTGTTTGATCTTTCTCTTCTTTGGCTCCTGGTTGTTCAATGCCATCGAGTCAGTTCCAACTCAGAGAGACCCTGTTTAGGGTTTCTGAGGAGCATCTGGTAAGTTTGAACTACCAGCCTTGTGATTCAAACCGACTTTGCAGGCCAGTGCTTTTCCCACACTGGGACTCTTAAGGGTCTTTGGCTTCTAGCGTTGAGCTATTGTTATGTTAATTCTGTGGTGCTGAGAGATCTTATTTGACCTAAGTTAAAGCAAATTTATGTGTTAAATTGTACAGTAATGGGTTTCTTCTGTAGTACTTGATCCTTGTATACTTCATAGAAAATAATATCTTGAGTCCACAAATAATAGAGGCAATTAGGAAACTTCACATAACTCAGTAGTGGGCTGTTCATCTTATATAGAAGTCTCCTAAATGTTTTTGTGTCTGCTTTGGTGGTTAGAGAATTAAATGGACATTTGAAAACCCATTACACTTTTGCATTTCCTTATTTTTCAGTCAGTTTAAAGCTTAGTAGTATGAAAAGGAAGCAGTGGCTGTTTGCTTATAACTGACTTCTGTTATACCTCATCAGAACTTACCCTGGCTTGGTGTTCTTTTATAAGACTAAGCATCGTCCCAAAATCCAAAGAATGGAATTAGTTCTCTTTGTTTGTACAGCTCCTAAATCCCCACACATTACAATATCATGGATAATAAGAGTTTTGTGGTATATTAAAATCATGTGGTGGCAAATATTTCTTTTTAAGGAGAGTTTTCTGCAGTTTTTCTCAAAATCAGTTACTCTAAGAGCTACAGTCTAAGATCAAGATACTGTGGTCCTCTTACCCTTGTCTTTAAGTAAGATGAAAAGAAATGGTTAGAAGCAGGGACATGTTCTAGAAAGGCTTCCGATGTGAGTGGAACTAGTACAAAGTTTGTGGAGGAATTGAAGTTGTTAACTAAATATATAGAGGTTTATAGTATATCATATCCTTTACGGCAACTGAAAAGCCAAGCCAACCCATGTAATGTCAAGATCTTTCTACTTAAGGGAAGAATTTCACATCTCTATTTTTACCCCCAAGTTTTAATAAAAGATTATTGTTGTTATTGTTAAGTGCGATCGAGTCAGTTCTGACCCATAGTGACCCTGTATAGGGTTTCCAAGGATCATCTAGTGAACTTGAATTGCCGACTTGCAGTTCAGACAGCTTTGCAGTCTTGCGCATTAACCCACAGCACCACACCAGGACTCTATTTAGTATTCCTGTTCTTGTTGGACTTGTGGCACAGTGGTTGGGTATTTAAATAAAAGGACAAAGAACAGCAACTATTGTTGAGTACCAGAATATTTATGCATTTTAAAGCTCTGTTACTTTTTCCTGATATTAAAAACGCTAAGATCTCTCCAGCGAACACTGAATGAGTTGAAAGAGTACCAAAAACAGCATGATCACTACCTGAGACAGCAGGAGATACTAGAGAAACATAAGCTGATTCAGGAAGAGCAAATCTTAAGAAACATCATCCACGAGACTCAGATGGCAAAAGAGGCACAGCTAGGTAAGTATTCATTCCCAGTGATGGAGGACAGGTTAGAGAGTTCACTTCTGGCATGTTTTCATAACTTCTGCGTAGCCATAAAACAAAACAAAGGCGTGCTTACGACTCCACTCAGTGGTTAAAATCAAGGTCCATTACCGTAAGTTCACCAGGAGGCTTGGAGAGGTGATTGGGTCCCTCTTGCTTTTTTAATTCTCACAGTGAAGTTAAAACTAAGACTTTTAGGTTCTGGGAGTTGGAACCATTATTTGCCCTCTGTGACCTATGTAAGTGCTTCTCCAAGTTTACTGTGCCTGAATGTCCTAGAGATCTCTTTAAAACACAGATTATGTTTCAAGAGCAAGAGTCCCAAGGTGATGTTTATAGGGACCCCTTGCCTCAACTCTTCACAATCACTTTCTCTTTCCTTGTGATTTCACACTTGTAATGCTTTGATACCTGTCCCAGGAATGGCTACAATGCAGTTCAGTGACCACAGCTCTCTCTTACCTGCTCAACATTATTCTGATCAAAGTATGAAATTGACAACTTCTCCTTCCTACAGCGGTGAGGAGCCTTAGCTAATCTCATGGCTCTAGTTTCCCTAAGAAGATTTCTTATGGGGCAATGTTTTTCCATGCAGGGGTATTGATTTCCACTATCCCAGAGCAATTCAGCTGAGTCGTTGTAGTCGGTGCGTTCCAGTCAGTTCCAGGATCCCATGAGACAGTGTAGAACTATCCCACAGGGTAATCTTTTTTAAAAATGTATTTCAATATTGTTGTTGAGAGTACACACATATTAAAATAGACATAATGCTTACAGTAGATGGTGAGAATTCAAAACCAACATTTTGACTCTTACATTTTCTTATCCCTAGAATTTTTTTTTTTTTGGCTCCTTCTTTCTTTGACAAGTTGATACATATACTTAAGGTTCTAATTCAGGTAACTTTTCTACCTGGAAACCTGCCATGCTTCCTCACATTTGGGTTAGATGCCCTTTTATGTGCTCCAACAACCATGTATTTCATATAATTGCTTTCATTGTTCACTTATTAAAACATTAGCTTTCAACTTTAAAAAACCCGCAGATTTTGATTCAGTAGGTATGAGGTGGGGCCTGAAATTGTACCCCTCTAACGAGTTCCCAGGTAATGCCTAATGCTCCTCTTCTGAAGCCAAACTACACTTACTGTCACAGGGCCGAACACCATGTGACTATCACCTGAGCCTCCCTAGAAACAAAGCATCCATACTCCTGCACGAAGACTGGCAATAAGACTAAACATTTTTTGTTGGTTTATTTTTTTTTCTTACCCCCTTTTAAAAAATGACTCCTTTATTAGAAGTAATATTTTAGACTAGGATTTGTCTAGGGCACAAATTCTTAACCTGGAGCAATGGATTAAGTTCAAAGGGTTTTGAAATCTCCCCAAAATGATATGCAGAATTGTGTATATGCACACTGGTTTTTCTGGGAAGTATAAAGCTTTTATTAAAATCCCTTAGAGTCTGTGACCCCAAAAGTAGGAAGAATAGGGTTCAAGATCTAGAGGCTCTTGGGTTGGCAGTAAATTCATGAGTTTGACTATATCTCAAATGTTTAGTTTCTGATAAGACCCCAAGAGCAGGTCTGACATCTCGCCACCAGAAGGTAAATTGATAGACTCCCCTAAATTATACCTTCTCCCCTGATGTATACTTGGATCTGGAAAACCTCACAGCCTTTGAACATAACCTATACCATTTACAATCTGTTATGTAAATTTTCTTTTCTCAAAGTGTCTTCAGTCCTTGGGATTATTTACTGTTAAGTCTGTACTGAAATGCAACCAGTTCTTATATATGTAAGTTTGAAACAAAATCACGAAATAGGCAAATTCTCTTCAGTGATATATCAAAGGCTCTTACAACTTTAGAGTTGGTAGACTGTAATTGCCAGAGGATACCTGAGTGATCAGTTACCGGACTCCCTTTGGCTTATGGGTAGGAAACAGGCTTCTTTAGGATGATTTGATTTAGCCATTAATGAGTGTCTCCCTGCTTAAAGTGCCCCCGTGTGAGTACTCTGCTAGACTTTGAGGGGCGCAAGGAGGAAGCTAAATGACTCAAGCTGGCCTGTCTCATCATTTGTTAATTTCCTTTTCCAGGAAACCATCAGATATGCCGTCTGGTCAACCAGCAGCATAGTCTACATTGCCAGTGGGACCAGCCTGTGCGCTACCATCGTGGAGACATCTTTGAAAATGTGGACTATGTTCAGGTCTTTCTCTTGGTCTTTTCTAGTATTTATAAGCTTTTGTATATCTAAAAATCATTACCATGTCTTTCTCCATCATTCCTTATATGTTGATCCCTAAAATTTGTGACTGTCATTTAGATTTTTAAGATTTTGAGCATTATTTTTATAAAGTCAGATTTTTGTGGATGATCCTTGAATGCTCCATGGATGATGTTGCTATTTCCCACAATACTGCCCGTGCTATGTTTGATTGGATTGGGCTATTATTATTCGTATTTAACTCAAAACCTATATCTTCTCCTCTTCACCTGCTAGAGTAAGACCAATCATTTAAACTCTGTGGATAAGTAGTCAAGTTGTCTCTTCTGTGAAGTGACCAGTCCAGTGATGTTGTCTCAACCAAATTGATGACACAATGATCATTGTCAACAGAAAGTATATATTAAGCATCATTGTTAGGCAAATGCTCTCTCATGTGTACACACATACACATCTGCAATACACATGTACACTCATAAAGCCACAGTCCTTACTATACTTATGGTGGAACCAATAGCCTGTGTAACTGATGCCAGCTGGGTGGTGTAGACAGTAAGCACAGCTAAAATTCTAAGTATTATCCTAAAGGATATGGGAAATAAAATAACACCTAGCCGATCATTCTAGAAAACCCACCTTGCCCTTAATCATATATAATGAAATGTCCAGAGGTCCACAGCTCCTAGCAGCATTTCATGTAAAGGAGAAAAGGAAGACCAGATACACACACCCTTTGGGATTGTGGCTCCCTGTCTTAATCCAAGCATGTTAATGGTAAAAAAAAAAAAAAAAAAAAAAGTGGTGAGAATGTTCAGAAGCAGAATAGATTCAGAGCACTTGGAAGCACTGATGTAGCTTCTGGTATTATATATCCTTAAAATTATAACTATATAGGGAAATAATGCTATCCTTACATAAAGGCCTAGAGCTCCAAATTCAGTCCTTTTTCTTATGTCTTCCCTACCCCATCCTTATCTAGCAAGGTTTCGGAAGTACACAGTAACTATGGTTTCTTGTATGAGTATCAAACATTGTTCTACCTGATTTGAGGAAGGAGTCATTAAGAAGAAAGATACATGTTTGTTTTCTTTCATCTCCTGTCTTCTTTCAGCCCCCAAGGTCTTTTATTAGAGGTTGATGGTTTGTAGACCCTAAATGATAGCTAAATTAAACCCTTGAGAGCCTAAAGTTCTGTTGCTTCTTCCCATAATGTATTAATCTTATACGACAGTGATCATTTTAGTCTACAAAAGGGAGCGTGCCTGGAAAAACAGCTCTGAATCTCGTATCTCACGCTGGGCTGTTAGGGTTAATCAGCAACACGTGCAACACTTCTTTCTATGGCCCTAACCACCCGAGCTCGTCAGATCTCAAAGGACGGGCCTCCAGATTGCCAAGTCTTCCCAAGATTTCAGGCACCAGCTGCAAGCTTGGAAGCTCCCAAGCTCCCCTCACTAATGAGCTGCTTGTCTCACAATGACTACCTCATCAGGATGGCAGCTGTGAGCTCAGGAATTCCCAGCCCCCTCACTCTTGACCTGGTGGTGATTGTATGCCATGGAGTCAGTTCTGACGCAAAGCGACCCTTCGTAGGGTTTCCGAGGCTGTAAATCTTGACGAGAGCAGAAAACCTCATCTTTATCCTGGAGAACTGCTGGTAGTTTTGAACTGTTGGTTTTGGGCTTAGCAGCCCAACTTGTAACTACCACACCACTAGCTGTAAATTCAAGTGTTCCCCCTACCCCCTCAGGATACTAGTCGTAAGCCTAGGAGTTCCAGTCTCTACTCTACTTCTGACCTACTGGCTCCCACACTCCCTTGTTGTTATTAGGTGTCCTTCCTCATAGCGACCTTGTGTAGCATTTTTGAGGGGTGGCTGGTGGGTTTAAACCTTACAGTTACCTGTCCAATGCTTACCCTACAGCACCGTACAGAGCTCCCCCATACTCCCTTGAGTTCTATAATTCAATAGAATGACTTGTAGAACTCAGGAAGGTATGCTTATATTATACTTTTATTGTAGCAAAAAGGATACAAATGAAGACACTCATAGAACCAAGTCTAGAAAGGTTTCCAGGGCAGAGCTTCCATGTCATAAATAAATCTGTGACTATTACCAGTCAGGAACCCATGGGGCTTCATTACCAGAGCTTCTATTGGGCATTTCATTACATAATTCAGACTCTATAGCCCCTCTCCCTGAGGTTTGTCAATATCATGAGGTAATCACAAGGTTGATAACCCAGAGTGGGTCTTTATTGCCTTGCCACCCCAATCCAAGAGTCACCTCAGATGTGTTAGGTGTATCATTAGATGTGTAGCACATCTAACGTAACTTAACCTGTTAAGTTAACCTGTTAAGTTAGATGTCCTCTAGCCATTCATCAAAAACACTTAGGATTACTGGAGGAATTTCAGGGTTTTAAGCAATTATTCAGGACAAAGACCAAATTCTTTGGGTGAAGTTAAACTTTATAGAGGGGAATAAAGAACCAAATATCTAGACCAGCTGATTGTTAAACTAAGAGTCAAAATTACAGAAAGAAGCAAAAGGATAGGGAAAAAAAATCTATGCCATTTTTCATAATTAGTGACAAAGTTGGTTGCAAGTCGCAAACGATACATCATTATCTGTTAGAAAATATTGCTTAGACATAGTTATTAAAATATTAAAATGTGATTGCTTTATTACTGAACTACTTTGATTTCCTACTAATTATGAGTATCTACTAACTCTTTTGGTTTGAGTTAAATTTCAATCATAACTCGGTTTCCACGTCTAATTTGATGTAACTCTTCATTGTCTAGTTTGGTGAGGATTCATCAACCTCTAGTATGATGTCTGTGAACTTTGATGTTCAGACAAATCAGAGTGACAGCAGTGATTCCGTCACGTCTTCTCCTGTCGCTCATTCTGTTCTCTGGGTCTGGGGCAGGCACTCGGATGCATATAGGGTAAGTTAATAGAAGATACGACAGGATTTCTTTTTCCAGATAGTCAGCATCTGGTATTAATATGGCCTCCATCACTGATGTGTTTAATTCAGCAAACATTTATTTATGTGCTAGGTGATGGATAAGTGACACACAGGCCCTTTCTTCGTTTGGTTCTTCTTCCTAGTAAAGTAGGGAACACAGACACCCTGACTTCAACAAACAAAGCTTTGAGCACTGTGTATAATTTACCAGCCTTAACAAGTTGCTACATAAGACATGGTATGTACTTGGCTATCTACCACTCATCTGTCTATCATACTGTGGTGGCTTGTGCGTTGCTGTGAAGCTGGAAGCTATGACACCAGTATTTTAAGTGCTAGCGGTGTCAGCCAGCGTGGATGGGCTTCGGCTGAACTTACAGACTAGGAAGACGGAGAGGCAGACCAATTCTGAATGGTAAGCCACAAAAAAACCTTATGAATAGCAATAGGGTATTGTCAAATGTAGTGCCTAATGAAACTCAAAATAAAACTGGGAAAAACCTGCCTCCTCAAAGTAAACTTACTGACATGAACAGAGCAAAGGTTTTAAGACCTTCATTTGTTCGTGGGTCACAACACAAAATGAGAAGAAACAACTGCAAACGTCCATTAATAATCAGAATGTGAACTGTACAAAGTATGACTCTAGGAAAACTGATAATCATCAAAAATGAGATGGAACACAAAAAAATCAATAACCTAACCTAGGCATTAGTGAGCTGAAATGGACTGGCATTGGTAATTTTGAATCGGACAGTCATTTTGTTTACTATGCAAGGAACAACAAACTGAAAAGCAGTGGTGTCACATTCATCATCAAAACACGTGTTTCAAGATATATCTAAACGTTACAATGCTCTCTGTCATGGAATGCTACCCATACACCTATAAGAAAGACCAGTTAATACCATGAATATTCAGATTTTCCCACCAACTACTAAAGCCAGTAATGATGAAACATTCATTCAGGATGCACTGATAATTATTGGTGATTGGAATGCAAAAGTTGGAAACAAAGAGGAAGCATCAGTAGTTAGAAAATAATGATCTTTGTGATAGAAATGATGTTGTAAACTGCATAATAGAATTTTGCAAGACCGTTGACTTACTGATTGCAAATACCATGAAAGGTAACTATCCACATGGATCTTATCAGATGGAACACATAGGAATCAAAATGAAGAGACAATGGAGAAACTCATTATCGGCACCCAAAACCGGCCCAAGGGACGACTGTGGAATAGGCCATCCATATGCTAGTTCAGGCTGAAGCTGAAGAAAATTAAAACAAGTCCACAAGAGCCAAAATATGACCTTGAACATATCCCACCTAGAGAAATGAATTTAGAGACTGTCTCAGTAGCAGATATGATGCGGTAGACACTAATGACTGAAGACTAGAAGAGCTGTGAATGCCATCAAGAACTTCATACATGAAGAAAGCAAACGGTCATTAAGAAGATAGGGAAAGAAAGAAAAGACCAAAATGATGTCAGAAGAGACTGTACTGGAGGAAATGAGGAAATAAAAGAGCTGAACAGAAAATTTTAAAGGCCAGCTCAAGAACACAAAGTATTATGATTAAATCTGCACGTACTTAGAAAGCCAACAGGGAAAAACTTGCTCAGCTTTTATCAGATGGAGTGAGTTGAAGAAAAAATTCAAGTTTCAAATTGCAATTTTGAAGGATTGTGGCACTGTAGGGTAAGCACTGAACTGTTAACTTCAAGGTTAGTTGTTCAAACCCACCAACCACTGCTCAGCAATCCTATACACTGTCTCTATACATCGTAAGTGACTCAATAGCACTAAACAACAGCAACATGTTCAAAACATTATAACTCTGGAATGCAAATTGAGATGTTTCAACAAACTCATGTAACACTGGAAGCACTCACTCATCTGTGTCAAGAAATATGGAAGACAGCTACCTGGCAACCAGTTGGAAGAGATCCATATTTGTGCCTGTTTCAAAGAAAGGTGACCCAACAGAACATAGAAATCAAACAGTATCATTAGCATCACACGCAAGTAAAATTTTGTTGAAAATAGTTGTAGCCATACATTGACAGGGAGCTGCCATAAATTCAAGCTGTATTCAGAATGGGACTGGAAACCAAGGATATCATTGCTGACATCAAATGGATTTTGGCTGAAAGCAGAGAACACCAGAAAGATAGTTACTTGAGTTTTATTGGCTAACAAAGTCATTCAACTGCATGGATCATGACAAATTACGGATAACATTGTGAAGAATGGATATTCCAGAACACTTAATTGTGCTTATGAAGAACCTGCACATAGACCAAGAGGCAGTCATTTGAACACAAAGAGGATACTGAATGGTTTAGAATCAGGAGAGGTGTGCACCAGGGTTGTGTCCCTTTACCATACTTACTCAGTCTGTTTGCTGAGCAAGCAATCTAAGAAGCTGGATTATATGCAGCACATGGCATCGGGATTGGAGAAAGACTAATTAATAATCTGCACTATGAAGATGACACAACCTTACTCGCTGGAAGTGAAGAAGACTTAAAATAATTACTGGTGAAGACCAAAGACAACAGTTTTCAGTATGTATTGAACCTCAGTGTAAGGAAAACAAAAAATCCTCACAAATGGACCCATAAATTACATCATGATGAATGGAGAAAAGATTAAAGTTGCCAAGGACTTAATTTAACCTGGATTCACAATCAAAACTTAGGGAAGCATCAGTCATCAAATTAGATGACTCAAGAAATCAAATTACTTATTGCTCTAGGTAAATCTGCTGCATAACACCTCTTTCAAGTGTTAAAGAGCAAAGATGTCAATTGAGAACTAAGGTGCACATGATCCAAGCTATGGCATTTTCACTTGTCTTCCGTGAATGTGAAAGTTAGTGAATAAGGAATATCATAGAAGAATCAATGCATTTGAATTATGGTATTGGAGAATATTACAAGTACCAGGGACTACCAGAAGAACAAACAAATCTGTCTTGGAAGAAGTACAGCCAGAATGCTCCTTAGAATAGATGATGGCCAGACTGCATCTCTTCTTCTTTGGACATGTTGTCGGGAGGGATCAGTCCCTGGAGAAGGACATCATGCTTGGCAAAGTGGAGGATCATCCCAAAGAGGGAAATCTCAACAAGATAGAGTGACATAGTGGCAGCAGCAATGGGCTCAAACATAGCAGTCGTGAGAATGGTGCGGGACTGGACAGTATTTCATTCCATTGTGTGTAGAGTTGCTATGAGTCAGAACCAACTCCATAGCACCTACTTGCATAGATTTACTTAATCAGCATTCTTTTATTAAGCTTTTGCTGTGGTTTAAATTGTGAATACAATAGATAAGTTCCTCACTCTACATCCTAGGAAGATGCAGTAAACACATTAATAAATAAATCTCTGATTCTTGACCAGTCAAGAAATAGTTACACGCTAGTCAATGGAGATTCCAAGGTATGAGAGCAGGAATGATGTATAATTGTTCACCATTAAATTTTCTGGATTTAATCAAGCTTTTGTTCTCACAATTAATATAGCCACTCAGATTTATGTACTATAAATTCTCCAGAGTTTGATAGCTTCAACATGCAAGTTTAGTAAATCTCTAGCAAGTATGATTTATACTTAGAAAAGTCAACATTTCACAAATTAACAAACAATTAAAATTTGGCATTCACACACACACACACACACATACAAAAAAAAAAAAAAAAAAAAACCAACCTGAGTTCAAGGAAAAATCGTTTTCTGTGCCAATTTCCCAAATGTAAGTATGCTTTTAGGGCACAAGTGATAAACCCCAGCTCAGACTGGCTTGAACAAAAAGAGAACTTTTCTTCATCTGATAGGAAGTCCATAGATATGTAAAGTTTTGAGACTGGTTGATTTAGTAGCTACTTGATGTCCTCAGTGACCCCTTTCCTGCCCTTTCGCCACTCTGCCATCTACAACGCTGGTGTCATCATACCACAAGCAGAAACTGGAGCACCATGCTTTTTTGTGCTCATGTTGGCATGAAAGACTAAGACTTGCTTTTCTTCCCCAGAAACCCAAGCCAGCCTCTCCTTGAGGCTCATTGGCTCAGCTGACTTAGGCTTGGCCAATCTGAACCAGTCTAGTAAAGTAGGTGAATCACCATGTCTGACTTTGCCTAATAATTTGGGGTGGAAATTGGGAGCCAACCACAGTGTCTGCTACATTTACCTTTAAAATATTAAAATTACTATTCAATAATCTCAGTATATTTAGATTCTTTTTTAAAAGTTTGTTTAGCTGTTAAGAGACTGAATCCAAGGAAATTTATGAGAAACTTTTCTTTCTTTCTTTCTTAGGACAAACAGCATGTTCTATGGCCTCAAAGAGCAGATTGTACAGAAAGCTACCCTCGAGTCCCTGTCGGTGGGGAATTGCCAACTTATTTTCTGCCTCCGGAAAACAAAGGACTCAGGCAAGTTCTGATGAATTTGCCAAAGCACCTGATTCTGCATGGTTGTCATCTGGCGGTTCTTTGAGAGCACCAGCCTTGGACTTGAAAGGTTAAGTCTTTATCTTGACATCACCAAAACCTTGAAAATGTGAATCTTGTTCCTTTTTTTTGTGCCAGGATCCACGAACTCAACAGTGACGACTATCCTTCAGAAGAAGAGGTCCAAACCCCTGACTGTTCCGTAACTGACTTCAGAAAAAGCCAGACCCTGTCCTACTTAGTCAGAGAATTAGAGGTTCGCAGGGATCTGAAAGCCAAAATGCCAGATGACCATGCACGAAAAGTAAGGCTCACTTAGCCTGCTGTTTACTGCCGTCCATTCCGGGTGACTTCAGAAGCCTCATACACGGAACCAACAGCTTTGGTAGAAGGCAGCTCTTGAGCTTTAAATGGATCAAACTGAAGGATAGAATTCAAGTCTTGGTGAAATTACTGAGAAATCAGTCATGCCGTTGAAAAAGTGGTAGGAAAGGGTTCCTCGGGGCTGTTGCTTGTGTAGACCACCTGAGCGCTATTTCTTTGAGTCAAAGTTCTAAAGATGAATAGCAAAGAACTCTCAATTTTGCTAATGGAAATCATTCTGACCACTTTGATTTAGCTCTGCCTCCTCCAATCCTCCAGGAGCTTGAAGGGTCTCTTTCCATGGCTTTATCATCCTACTTTGGCCTTAAATAGTGTCCTTAGGAAATTGTATGAATTTCATAATCTCTTTGCAAGTATTATAAGTTCTGCTGTGCTGTTTTCTTTAATTTTTGTTAGTTGTTTCTAATTTGGAGTGTTTTAGTGCCAACTGCAGATTAGGTTACATTTTGTACTAGATGCTATATGAGATAGAAATGAAAAATTACTGCTTTACAAAGAAAGCACACTATTACAACTGCCTTTTTTTCAAACTTAATTTCAAAACTATCAGCAGTTACTACTTATATTGAACAAATTACTACTAGAGAAAAAAAAAAAAATGCACCAGGCACTGTTTTGGATGCTAGGAATATAAAGATCGGTAGCTTAAATGATCCAGTAACATGAAGTCGATTCATTGGGGATGTGCTAGGTTTCCAACTCGGAAAAAGAACAAATTTGTATCACATGCTGCTTGCAGTCTTCTCAATTAACTTCCATTCTGCCCACTGCGATCGGGATGTCCTAGATTACCATCATGTGTGTTTGTGTATCTGTATCTCTTAACCTTTTCTTAGTGGAAAGATTGAACTAGTTTAGAAAGTAGAGTGTGTAGTATAATCAAGCCCATATACCCATCACTCAGTGTAATCAAGTTAAACCGTCACAGCCAATCTCATTAACTTCTCGATGAGTTCTTAACAAAATAAGAAACATTAAGTATTTTCACACATGTGTTGTTGTTAAGTGCTGTTGAGCCACTTGTGACTCATAGCAACCCTGTGTAGGGTTTCTGAGATGCTGCTGCTGGTGGGTTTGAGCCGCTGACCTTTTGGTTCACAGTGCAGTGCTTATGGTACAGTGCCACACCAGGACTCTGTATCTGCTGCCCTTGAAATCAGCATATGTCATCAGGTTGGGCTGTTCATGATCCCATAGCGTATGTTTGACTAAAACACCTACTCAGGTGGCTGTTTTTGAGGAATGTAAGTAAAGACTGTCATCAATGAAACTCTTTTAAAACAGCTTCCTGATTATTTTAAATTGAGTTGGTTTTTTGATGTTTTCAGATTTTGCTTTCCCGTATTAATAACTATACTATCCCAGAAGAGGAAATTGGGTCTTTCTTATTTCATGCTATTAACAAGGTGAGTCACCTCCTTTGCACATCTTAAACTTGAAAGCTTAGTCTTGCTGTTGTTTGCTGTCGAGTCAGTTTCTGATTATGGTGACCCCATGTGACAGAGTGGAATTGCCCCAGAGGGTTTCCTAGTTGGTGATCTTGATGGTAACAGATCTCCAGGTCTTTTCGCCCACAGAGTGACTGGTGGTTTCCTAACTGCTGACCTTTCAGTTAGCAGTTGAGTGCTTAACCATTGTGCCACCAGGGCTCCTTGAACTCCTAGTAATTGTTACCGAAAGACAAAATGTACTTGTTTCAAATGCTGTCTACAACAAGTACTTTGTAGTGTGTAGAATTAATCCAGCATTCTTGTATTAACCGAAATGTTTGGGGTTTTTCAGCCAAATGCTCCTGTCTGGCTCATACTTAATGAGGCGGGACTCTACTGGCGAGCAGTAGGAAACAGCACGTTTGCCATTGCCTGTCTTCAGAGGGCTTTGAATTTAGCGCCGCTTCAATACCAGGACATTCCTCTCGTCAACTTAGCCAACCTTTTGATCCACTATGGCCTTCATCTTGATGCTACTAAGCTGCTACTTCAGGCTTTAGCCGTCAACAGCTCTGAGGTGAGCTTTTAGGTTTCTTTGCAGCACCATAGATGTACTAAGCAGGGCGCTTTCCATTCAGAGTGCAATCTGTATTTTTCTAGGAATAGCCTATAAATGTATTTTGTTTTTCAGAGAGAACATAAAGATTTTATTTGTATTCTTGTTGATATGTCGGTCTTTCTGTTTTAAAATGAAAGAAATTTATAATTACAGTTAATGTTTTAGAAATTTACATCTAAATTAAAGTACCATAGCTTCTAAAAATGCACTCTTTTTCATTCTAGTCTGAAACATCTGGTTCTTCTTTTATCCTGCTTACCACACACAGCATGCATAATGCTTAATATTAGACTGGTTTACAACTTTAATTTCTAGATATCTGTCTATCAGCCAAGCCAGAGCACAGTTTAAGGGTTGTTTTGATAAGAACAGATTTGTTGTGTACCATCGAGTCTGTTCCAACTGAGACTGCAAGTTTTTACGGAAGCTGAAAGTCTCACCTTTCTCCCACAAAGCAGATAGTGAATTTGAACTGCAGACCTTGTGGTTAGCAACCCAACCCATAACCCACTACACTACCAGCGCGCCTTAGAATAGACGTTGAGTGTCATGGAGTGAGTTCTGACTCATAGCGACCTTCTGTAGGTTTTCCAAGGAGGAGCTGATAGATTTGAACCACTGACCTTGTGCTTAGTAGTCCAGAGTTCATCCTGCAGCGGCGCACCAGGAGTCCTTAGGATAGATAGGTGGGTTGGATCTACAAAAAGTGACACCATTCACCCCTCCCATAGCGCTCTCTACTCGCTTGGGCTCAAGAATTCATTGTCATGGCTACACAGAAGTCAAGATACCACACTCACATTTATATGGTTTATTAGAGAAGTTGTTAAGTACTGTGGAATCAGTTCTGACTCATAGAGACCCTGTATAGCAGGAGTGGGGAATGTCTGGTCCGCGGGCTGTATCAGGCCTGTGAAATCATTTGGTCTGGCTCTGCCAAGGCAACCGCAGTTCCAGCCATCACATTTGTTGTTGATATTAAATGCTGTGGAGTTGGTTCCAACTCATAGCGACCCTGTATAGGGTTTCCAAGGAGCAGCTGGTGAATTTGAACCACTGATCTTGCAGTTCAAACCAACCTTGCAGTCCAGTGCATTATCCCTAAGGGTAAGTTAATTAGATGTTTGATCAAATGTAGCAGGCTAATTTTGAAGTTGATAATTTTGTATGGCCCGCAAATGATGTTACAGATTTGGGCAGAAAAAGGGTTCTCTACCCCTGCTGTATAGGGTTTCTGAGGAGCTAATGGTGAGTTTGAACCACCAGCCTTGAAATTCAAACCGATCTTGTGGTCTAGTGCTTTTCCTGCAGCACCACACCAGGTTAATGGGTTACAATTCAGCATCAGAAGTGTTCAGGGCACAGTTGTCCCAGTCAGGATAGCATCTCCTTACCCATGCCCACAGACAGGCCTCTGTCTGCCTAGCCAGTGTTGCACAGCTCTTTTAGGATTGTTGAAAATGCCCACAGGACACACTACTCCACTGTAAGATTCAGTCTAAAGGCACTGGGTCTAGCTCCGTGGGTCAGCAAACCTGGGTCTCCCAATTAAGTGCCTGGAGGCACCCACTCAGCAAGCAAGCCTCCTGCCCAAAGCCCGAAGCTACTCAACTCAGCTTTACTTGCTCCATGGACTGGGACGCCTACGGGTCCACCTCCTGCTCTCTGGCTCCTGGTTCAGCTGCTGCTTCTGCTCTGCCACTCCTCCAGTGCCACAGCTTTCTGTCCCTGCTTGAGGAGGTTCAACATGCAGGGATCTCTGGATCCAAATAGTACACTCCACTCCAGGCTCTTCTTGGATAATAATGAGATCCCCTCTTCTGCTTTTGAGATGGTTCAATTTATACCCAGCCGGATGGCAAAATTGACCAATCCCAGTTATCCCTGTTATCAGTTACTTTGATCATGTAATCCATCAGCATCTTCCCCTACCTTTTCTCTCCCAGACCCATAGGAAAAGTCAACTGGTGGGAGTTTACAAACACAATGGCTACAAGAGCCATAAATACTTCACTATAACACAGTGTCTGTGCTCTGAACCTCTCGCTGCTTTGTAGTTAATTACATTGTAGTTAATTTCATTGTTTCTAAGATGCTACTTTTTCATATTTCAACATCTCTGAAATCAGGATGTATGTTAAAATTTATGATTTCTTAGACTTCATGGAGTACAATTATAATGAATATACAACTACATTGATTTTATAGTTAATAAGTAAATGCCTGTAAGTTGATATATCCAAAATAACCTTTAGATAAGATGTACATGAATGGTTTAGATTTGTTTAAGGTACCCTCAAGTTAAATTTTTAAGTATAAGAAGGAAACATTGTGTATGAAAGACTTTTCTTTGAAATACACAAAATGCTCAACTGGATTTTAAGCAGTAGTTTAGAATCTCTCTACTATACAGCAAGTTAAGTTGCCAATGAAGTACATCAAATATTTATCGAATGCTTCCTGTGTGTCAGGTGCTGGTACTTTGGGAACAGATGCTAGGTATGGATGTGTTGAAGTGGGCGCCCAAAGGAAAGATTCAACACAGCTATATAATTCCCTCAGTGTTTGACTTTCTACTGCCAGCAGACAAGGCAGTTAGGCAATATTCTTCCAAAGAAAGAAGAGGGCCCTGTGGGTTTGACTTTCTATGTTTTGACACTATACTAAAACTGAAGTTGTTAAGTACTGTGGTACTGCAGCAGAAATAGAAAGATAAATCCAAGGCTGAAAGTCAGTACCCCCAAAATAGATCCTAACCATCACCCCCCAAACTGCCAGCATTTAGAAGTGTTTCCTTATCAGTAATGCATATGTGTCACAGTCCTGCAACTCTACGGTACAGGTGATTCTTAAAGTTTTATTATTATAAAGAAATGATTGCTACATAGTTTTTATGGCCGTAAATGTATACAATTGCAGGTTTGTGTGTGTTCAGTGAATGAAGATGCCACAGCTTACTCTTTGGTTGTTAAGTATTAAAATTGCTGACAGTACTTGGCTGATGTCAATAATGATTTCATCTCCACCATCCTTTGTACAGCCTTTCCTGCATTTCAGATCATTGTTTTAAGAAAAAACTTCTAACAATGGCATTACTAGCTCAATAGAATGAATACCTTGATGGCGCTAGATTCAAAATGTCAGCAGTCTGGCAGAAGGTTTAGGCCAAAATACATCTCCATGACTGAGGTCTAAAAATACCCATTTCACCTATTGTCACCAGAACTGGGTGTCTAAAACTGGGCTTTCATTGACTGCTTACTAGGGCTAAGCACAAAGCGAAGCAACTTACATGTGAGAACTCATGTGATCTTTACAAATCTCCCATGAGGTAGGATTGACCCATTTTTGTTGACGAGGAAAGGGATTTACCCAAAGCCATGGAGTTATGATTTGAACTCAAGGACCTTGACCTCAGAGCTCACTCTAACCAATGTTAGCGCTGCTTCTGAATTAGCGTCTATAAAAGAGTTCACGTCTCTGCTGCAACATCAATTTCTTTGTCCTTTAATTGAATCTTTTAAGTAAATGTTTGTGCATTTTACAGATTTTGTTAGAAGTTCAGGGATTTCCTCTTTTTTAAAATCATTTACAAATTCTTTGTATAATGAAATTGTTAACTACCGACCATATGTTAAAAACAGTTGCCTTTGCTTTACCTATTCATTTCAGCTTTGAAAAAACCCTTGAATTTGTTGTTATTTGTGATTTCTGTTGTTGGATTTGAAGTAGCCTCACAGCTAATATGAACAAATTAATTCTATTTTGTTTTTGTTTCTTTCCCTTTGGTTTAATCTTTAAATAGTTGACATTCAAATATACAAAGGTCTTCCATGTTGTCTTCTAGATGTTTTATAATTTAGGTCTATGATCCATTTCTAATTTAATTTTCTTTATGGTGAGGTAGGGATCACAGCCCATTCTTCTCCACATGAATATCCATTTGTTGTAGCACCATATCTAAAGAAGACTATGTTTCCCCTATTGAATTACCTTGGCATCTTTGCACTAAACTCCAGAATCCTGTATCCAACAACGTACTTGATACCTCTTCTTGGATGTCTAAAGGGCACTCTAAAAAACTAAGGGCCACTGCTCTAAAAGGGATCAGAATAGAAGGACCTGGATAATGTGGGAGAAAAAAAATGTAACAAACTCAATATCATAAAAAAAAAAAACAAAAAAAAACAGGCTTACCATTCTGGGAGAGGCTTGGAACCCCCTAAGACTGTGGCCCTGAAATATGCTCAAACCTGAATCTGAACTCACTCCTGTAGCTCAGCTTTCAGCTCAACAATAGAAAGGCCTATAAGAAGAACAGTGACACCGGAAAGATACCCACTCATTAGACCAATCAAGCCCACTAAAGTGGCTAACAACGTGAAGTCGGGAAATTCTTATACTTGCTGGTAAATTGTAAATGTGTGCACCTGCTTTGGAAACGATTTGCCTGTATCCAGTAAAACGAGATACAGTGACACCTATGAGAGCTGAAACTCTACATGACTGCCTTTCAAATCCTCAAATGCCTAGATTCTTCCCTGGTCTTCCATATTTTTAGTCTAGCTTTCACATGCATATGACATCATTGACATACCCTGGCTTGAGTCGCCTTGGTCTCTTTAACCCTTTAAAAAGGTCTTTTGCAGCATTATTTGCCCAATACAGTATGTCGTTTGATTTCTGGACTGTTGCTTCCATGAACATTGATGTGGATCCAGGTAAAATGAAATCCTTCATGGCTTCAATCTTTTCTCCATTTATCGTGGTACTATATATTAGTCCAGTTGTGAGGATTTTTGTTTTCTTTCCATTAAGTTGTAATCCATACTGAAGGTTGTATTTTATCTTCATCAGCAAATGTTTGAAGTCCTTTTCTCTGTCAGTAAGTGTATTGCAGGTTGTTTATAAGCCTTCCTCCAATTTTGATATCCTTGACATATGGTGATTGTAGTCTCAGTAGTGGTTACCTCCAGAGTTGCCCAGGGGAACCAGAAACTTTGTAAATATGTATACCTTGACGCTATATATATACATATACTTACATACATATATACATACATAGATATATATATATACACAGACACACACACCAGGGTAGGTCAAAAATTATATGCACTCTGGCTATAGGATTTATTTTAATCAAATGACAAATAACATCACTTTTTTTACATAATCTCCTTGCTTTTCAATACACTTTATCCATCTGTTTCGTATTCCCTTTTTAAAAATTGTTTTAGACTGAGCTACAAGCCATGAGTGCACTACTTTCCACTTCTTCAGCAGACGTGAATCTTCATCCTCAAAGGGCTGCTTTCAGGGGTACCAAACAGGCGAGAGTCCAATAGAACAAGATCAGGACTGTAGGGAGGATGCTTTAACACCTCAAAACAAAGTTTTTGCGAAGTGTCAACAGTGTGGGCAGAGGTGTGCAGACATGCAAAATCACAATGCCCTTGGGTACCCATCCTCTGCATTTAATCCAGAGTTTAGGCCTCAGCATTTCAGTGAGCATCTCACTGTAATGAGCACTGGTGATTGTTGAGCCTTTTGCCTGATAGTGTTCCTGTACTGGTCCTAGAGAATCCCAGAAAACTGTAAGAAACTATATTCTAGCTGGTGTTTGACTTGGAATTTTTCTTTATTGGCAATTGAAGATGTTTCTCTTCCGTACTCTGCCGTTGACTCTGTGGCTCATAGTGATGAATCCATGTTTTATCACCAGTAACGATTTTTTTGAAGAAGGTTGTATCTTCCTTCATGTATGGTCCTAATTTTGTTTGCAGATGTCCAAATGCTTCTGTTTATGCTCTTCCCTGAATTTTTTTGGTACCCGTCTCACACAAACTTTTTGAATGCCAAGTCTGTCATGGATTATTTCATAGGCAGAGCCGTGGATGATTTGCAAATGATTTATCACATAATCCCCTGTCATTCGTCTATTCAACAGAATCATTTCACATGCACGCTCAGTGTTGTCATCATCCATGGAGGTGAATGTGCATTTTAATATAACCGGAGTATAGATAATTTTTTTTAAATGTTTTATGATGAATTATGTGATAGTTTACATGGGAGAACATTAACTTTACATTCTTCCTATCGTATATAATTTGATTGCCATGATTACAATCCCCTCCATGCATCATCAAACAACCAAAAGGTATACTCCTCAAGCCTGCCCCTCAGTCGCCAGCACACAGCCCCTCACCCTCTCTGGGTCTAGAGTCCCCAGCCACTCCATCTCTCCACATTATCATCTCTGCCTCCATCTCTGGCATTACTGTTTCTCCAGGTAGGGTCCCACACTCCGCTCTTTTCCCTTCATGGTCCCAGGGACCTCCGCTTCCGGACTGCAAAGTCAACCACTCCCCTACTCTTTGCTACAAAATGTCTACCTTTACATTTCCAACCCTCACAGTCCTGATAGCAGTTATTCACTATTGTACCACAAGAGTCCTATTCCCATCTCTTTTCGTCAGCCATGCCCACACAGACTGGATACTATTCAGTAGAGATTCTACCTTCCTTCGTGCCCTCTGGATCTAGGCTCCCTCTTGAAAGCTTGTAAGCCAGTCACTTCTTGCCTTTGTAGCCACCACCAGCCCCCCATTTTGGGTAGCCAATGTCCAAGTTGCCCATCCCTGTCTACTCTGTATGGAGAGGGTGGGAGTGGTCCTCGCTGTAGCGATTTGTTCCCTCTTTGAGCTACTGCATCCATAGGTGTAGATCAAGTTCATCAAATTGTACCAGAATACTCTTTCCTCTTCTTTCTTCTTCTAGTTGAGCTCTGATCATCCAGTCATTGAAGCCAGGTCAAGTGGGTATTACTTGCAAGTGTGGATGTTCTTGTGCATATGCCCTCTCTTTTTATCAGCTGGATGATTCACTCTCCACTCTAGTCCTCTGTGGCTATGTCACTGACACTGGGCCGAAGAGTTTCCAGGTCTTGCCATACTGCTGGCCAACCAGGTCTTCACCCGGGTTCACAGGAGTCTATTGAATGTGGTAGGACTTAGCTCGCAGCTTCATTGCTGTTTTTCCTTCACTTCCCCTTATCAGTGACCAACATAGTCACCAATCAGAATGCATGTCTGCTTGGGTATTCCCACTGAGTCTTAGTTTTAGTACCGGTAATTTTTAATGCAACCACATGTGCATTCACACACATGTGTGTATAAGTTAATTGAACTTTATACTTAAGATTTGTGTACTTTACACACCTATGTTCTTTGTACCTTGTTGTTATTGTTTTTAAGTGCCACTGAGTTGGTTCTGACTCATAGTGACCCAGTATAGGATTTCCGAGAAGCAACTGGTGGGTTTGAACTGCTGACCTTGTAGTTCACGGTCTAATGCAGATCCTACAGCACCACATTGTGCCTTGTTGTTGTTGTTGTTGTTGTTGTTGTTAGGTGCCATCGAGTCGGTACCAACCCATAGCAACCTTATACACAACAGAACTAAACGCTGCCCAATCCTGGGCCAACCACACTACTGTTGCCACGCTTTAGTCCATCGATGCTGCCACTTTGCCAGCCCATCTCGTTGGGGGTCTTCCTCTTTTTCTCTGACCCTCCACATTACCAAAGGTGGATATCCTTCTCCAGCAACTGGTCTTTCCTAACAATATGTCCAAAGTATGAGAGACAAAGTTTGGCCATCTTGGCCTCCAATGAGCACTCTGGCTGCACTTCTTCCAAAATGGATCTTTTTGGGTTTTTTGGCAGCCCATGGCACTTTCAATATTCTTTTCCAACATCATAACTCAAAAGCATCAATTCTTCTACAGTCTTCCTTATTCACTGTCCAGCTTTCGCATGCATATGAGGTTATTGAACATACCATGGCTTGGGTCAGGCGCACCTTAGTCCTCAAGCTGTCATCTTTGCTCTTCAGCACTTTAAAAAGGTCTTGTGCAGCAGATTTGCCTAATGCAATACATTCTTTGATATCTTGACTGCTGCTTCCATGAGTGTTGATAGTTTGTGCCTTAGTGAAAGGTAAAAAAAAGAAATTTGCATATGTTGGATTCAGTGTATGATTGGCTAATGTGACAACAGTCGACAGTTAGGCATAAATCTTTATGGGGTAACCTGAGAGAAGCCAAAAAACAGACACACGCTTTGAGAATTTCTTAACTCAGAAAATAGTAATCCATTAACCTTTTTGCTCTTCTGTTTTTTCTTCTTTGCAGCCTCTGACCTTTCTGAGCTTGGGAAATGCTTACCTTGCTCTGAAGAATGTCAGCGGAGCACTTGAGGCCTTTAGGCAAGCTTTGAAATTAACTACCAAATGCCCAGAGTGTGAAAATAGCCTGAAACTGATCCGATGTATGCAGTTTTATCCTTTTCTGTACAACATCACCTCCTCCATTTGCAGTGGTAAGCAGCTATTAAACGTTGGCAAACTAATAAGCTCAACCATAGTTTCTGTTCTGATCACAAGAACACAGAAAATTATTTTCTCTGCTTTCTCAAGGATTTGATGCAGCCCGTATAATTCTAGATGCAGATGGAAGAAGTCACTGCACTACTTATAGTAGATACTTACATACTGTAGTGTAATAAGGCTATAGTCTCGCTCCGAACCCTGCTTGGGAAAGCCTCGCAGCAGCATATTCAACTGGGTTTAGTAGGCTATGAGATTTCTTTTATAATGAGCAGTGCTCATGGTTAAGGATAACATTTCTGATAGTATTTGAAGTTCTTCCACATATTTGGTCAGAGAAATACAGCCCCTTCTTTTTCATGAAGGTGGTCCAAACGTTTCCTGCACCTTTAAAAGTCACCTGACATGAAATGGGATCTTTTTGCATTTTTCCATGTCTTCCCATAACCATGGGCATGTGTACATGAAGAATACCCATTTGGGTAGAAAAATATGTAAAACTGTTGTCGATTCATCCATCAGAAACCTCTGTCTAGTGCCCTTGACATGTGGTTGTTTACTTATTTGCCTATGGTTTGGCACTGTAGGGTAAACACTGTATTGCTAACCTCAAGGTTGGCAGTTCAAACCCAGCAGCCGCTCCTTGGAAACCCTATGCCGGAGGTCACTATGAGTCAGAACCCACTCAAAAAAAGAATTGAACTTGCAGCCTTCTATTGTGAGGGGTGCTGTTTGCATAGATGTGCAGCCTCAGAGCCACACCACTGGGCAGCACCCAGTAGGTGCTCCATTGACGTGCAGCATGCACTGCAAAGTTCAAGGCCAGAGCCATCTGCCTAGCTCCTTGTATTAGACATTAAAAAACAGCTTCACTTGGTTAAGTGACTTGTCTAAAAGACAGCATTAATTGCCAGTAAATTTGGAATCTGAAACTGGTTTTCCTAATTCACTCTAACGGACCGCGGTAGGATTTTTATGAAATGGGTGAATTGTGGACATTATATTGCATGAAAAAAGCCCTAAAAGGGCATGTAAGAAAATACGCTGTTTGAGTCCAATAATGTGTCCATTTTTAATTATCAGAGCCCAGGTTTTTGATTGAGAAATAAAGCTTTGGCAGCAACATAATGTAGCTCAGTCAGCTTTGAGCCATTCTTGGCCACAAGCTGAACCAGAGTTCTTAGATGAATGCTAAAGTCCTAGGAGGGTACGCTAGCCAGATTCCGTGGTGCCGCAGATAGCGTCAGAGTCACACCGCTGCATGTTTGAGCCCCAGTGCTGCCATTCCTGGAAAGGACATTAGATGTCCTCATCAAAGCAGGAAAGACCCTAAAACCCATCCCCCACACACAGTAGATGCGGAACGCAAAGGACTGAGAATTTTAAAGGTATACATTGTAAGTCTTTTGTCACCGTATTTAACCCTACCTAGAAAACACACTGTGGTCTATTAAGTTTTGTCATTATCCAAGAAGAGTCTTGTAAGCAGTATTTCCATTTTTTCTATGAGCCACTTGTGGAATCTCTTACTATATTAAGTTTACTACGTCCCATGCCCTGCTCTTGGCACATCTTTCCATCACTGGGAAGGAGAGTTCTGTGTGGGTGTGTGTGTTTCTGTAGTTCTGTAGATAAAAGCTATGTAAATATAATGACCCTTTTCTAAAAAGGCATCATGTTGTCATCAGTTTCATATGCTTTTGTTTAGCAGTTTAGTGTCTTGAAATTTAATCTTATTTTATGCTATCTGTGTCAAAAGAGGAAATCCCATTGTCTTTTTTTTTTTCCGTGCAGTGTAACTTCACCTAGCCCGGGACAGTAGTAATAGTTTGGAACTGATCTTTCTTAAGAGTTGTAGTATCTGGTACCCCAGATTATCCCAAGAATATTATTGGGTAAGATATAATAACACTAAAAGAAATGTATTTGACTTGGGAAGAGGAAGTACTTTTTCATCATTTCAGAGAGAGCTCATTGATTTTTATAAGAAATGAACACTATTTAGTCCTTTTTATATGGTACATTATAATGAACAAGTTTACTAATTTAGTTATGACATCTTTGTTCAAATTTGCTAAGATCACTGGAATAAGTTATTATTGCTAATCAGCCTAAATATCCCTCTGAATGGATTAGAAAAGAATCCAACATCTACCAACATTTGAATAAATGCTGGTATCCCCAATAGAAATACAGACCTGAAAACTCCTGTTTTTTCACCTAGAAAATGTATGGTATACTGTTACAGCATTGTTTTCATTCAGCAGGTCATTGTTAGTACTAATTACAGTAATGAATTTTTTGCAGCACTTGTTTCTACAGCAGTCCTGCTCATTCACAGTTGCTTTGTTGAATTGCATCTTGGAAGCTCAGAAACTTAGAATGGAGCAGCATACCTGTGTAGAAACCATAGAGTTCTGTTATATAATTTGAAATCTAAACAATTACCTCTACCCCATTTATCTGTGAGCATTCTTGGGGGAAAAAAAGATAGAACTTCTCAAAAATTAATTAAGCATTTTGGTACCTTTGGTACTCAAGATTATTCCAAGAATATTATTGGATCATATTTAGTAACAATTAAGATCAGATAATTCTGTTTGCATTTTGTTTTTTAATTTGTACAGTAATGAAATAAACGTATTAAGTTATCTTTAATATCTGACATAATTGTCTAATTTTTTATTGTGACAGTACAAAGGTTTCAAGAGATCAATAAAGCTTATGATTTTTTTCCATATAATAATCAAAGGATTTATCTAATAATTGGTTTTTATTAGACAAGGAACTAAGCTGCCCCTTTCTCCACCCCTTTCCCAGCCTCAACAATGCTCTTAGGAAAGGCTGTTTGAAAGCTGCCACTTAAACATCTTTTCAAATAAGATCTTCAAGACCAGAAATAACACTTAACCTTTTAAAAATAATTTTTCTGACCACTCTAGTTAAGTCTTTCACAGATTATTTCCTTTAAACACACATATTTGTAACTGGTTTTAGAGCAGTAGTGATATGAGCTAATGTCTTGTGTGGTGGTGGTGGATGGTGGCAGCCTGCCGTGGGCGTGATTCAGACTCACAACGACCCCACAGAGGGCATCTGAGGCTGGAAATCTTCATGGCAGCAGAAAGCATCAACTTTCTCTCATGGAGCACTTGGTGGACTCAAACTGCTGACCTTGCAGTTAGCAGCCAAACACTTATCCCATCACACTACCAGAGTTCCTTAATGTCTTGAATAGTGTGTATGAGCCTAGTGGTAAAATTGTAGGCAGTACAGCAACATCAGTAAGTGTTTTATTTCTTGTGATACGTAGCTCTGGAATTTGTCATGCAGATTGTCAGTTTATGTTTCTTGGAAAGCCTACACAGACACTATATCATATTACCTTTTGATACTGATTTGTTCATCTTAAAAAAACTATTATACTCACGGTAATGTCTTTATAGCTAAATATGTTAATTAGTGAAGAATTACTTATCTGACAGTATATTCAAACTTTTATGAACCTGGAAATAAATTTTATTGACTTCAGTTTTTTAGGTTTTTATAGTATCTATCTGCTCATGACCTTTCTCTCTTCTAAATGATAGTTAATAAATGCTGCTTTTCTTTAGATCATTTTATACCACAACTGCAATTTCAAGGATACTGTGAAGGAAAAGCTCACTAGACTGAGTTGTTGTTTTTTTTCCCCACTTTTGAGTTGACTGTAAAAAGGAAGTTGTAGCTAAACATTTCATTGTGGCAATATTAAAATAGTTACTGCTTTCCACATTTATAGTTTTGTTATTTTACAGATTGGTTTAGCTTAAATAGAACTGAATTGATCACATGTAATAAAACTCCTTCTTCAATAGCGACATACTTGGTCCTTTTTTAAAGCCAAGTACAATGGCTTTGAGTATATGCTGTTTGTAAGGCCTCTGAAGTACTCAACATTAAAAAGGTGTTTTTTAAAAACTGTTAAATAAACAGTGAAATCTCATGAAGCAATAGTGATTATCTTCTCTAATGACCAGAAAATGGAAAATAATTTTTAAGAGCAATATAAGCAGAATGATAAATATTCAATCTATAATGGAGTCCAGAAATACACAGATAAGGCGCAATACAGCTTAAAAGTCCATTTTCCAATCTTTGATTACTCTCAAAATATTTGCTGAATGAGTACTTTTCAACCCTCAGTTTTACTGTTTTGCAAATAAAAATTTTTTATTTAGCACAGATACTTTGTACTACTTCTGCAGTTTAGGGGGTGCACAGTGGCTCTGTAAGAGAAATACTGGGCTATGAACTGCAAGGTCTGCGGCTGGAGCCCACTAGCCATTCTGCAGGAGAAAGAGGAGGCTTTTTGCTCCCACAAAGATTCCTGGCCTTGAAAACTCTATACAGGGATGCTATGAGTCAGAACTACTCAACAGTACTTAACAACAAAAGCAATACAGATTATCCTATTACTATGATTTTACCTTATTTTTAGTGTTATTCATTATTATTTTTCTCTTATTAGAAAATAAGATCCATGATATGTTAGTTATTAAAGTTTTTGTACATGAGATGCTTACAGGTGTACCACAGACGGTTGGCATTGATAAGGAAAACCTAGGCTGTCTGGACCCCGATTTATCTTAATTCACAGAGAGATGTACACACTTCAAAACACTGGCCCAGACCTTTAGAAGTTATGAATAAGTGTTATACAACAAAACTTAGACTCTAATATCTAGGTATTTTTTAAAGATTATGCAAGTTTTTCTGTATAAAGAAACATAAGAATTTACAAATGATGTAAGTAGCATTAATATCTGTGTGCAGATGAACGGATTATCCATTTGTCTCCATGATGCGCCCATGTTTATAGCATCTGGTTACACAAGTCATATCTCCTTCGATAGTTGCTTTACAGACTACGTAACTTTACACATTGTTCTTCTCCCTTAACTTCTGTAGAGTTACAGCTTGCAACTTAAAACAAGTTTATATATAGTTCAGA